ACGAGTCGGAGGATACTCTCCCCCGCTCAACCTTGAATGCACCCATCGAGGCTTTGCAGGGGCTTGCCAATGCCGCAGCTGAGGCTGCGGCTGCGCCCTCTGCATCTACGCCACGGTGAGTAACCATGGATATTGATTTTTAGGCCGCTACTAATGTTGTAATTCGCAGAGTGAAGAAACGTAAGAAAGCCGAGCCAACTCCTCGGAACGCTTTCCCCCATGTCGTCGAAAAGGTTTAGACCCGACTCATACACTTCTCGAACCGTACTAATATCGCTGAAACAGGGTTTAGTCTCTGACCAGGAAGCCAGAGAGCTCTTCACAATGTAAGCGCTCATAATTCACATTCATAATCACATTCATGTGCTGAGCCACTCCTAAGTTTCTTCTCCGGTTGTCACATTTTCATTCCGGTCTTTGACCCGAGTTACGACACTTACGAAGGTCTTTCTGAACGGTCACCATGGACGTTCGATGCTATTCTGGCTATTGCAAGCAAAATCCGAAGCGGTACCGGTCCCTTGACGCCATCGTTTTACCGCAGCCTTGAGGAAGCTCAGGGCATTGCCAGGTCCTCGTTATTTGGGCCTGTAGTGAGGAAGGAAGCCGTCCAGGGAATGTTATTATTAGCGGCTTGGAGTACGAATGGATGGCTTCCTAGCGGTCATGCCATGCGAATGGCTTTGGACCTGGGATTACATCGCGCTTTGGAGAAATTGGCAGACCATGATAACAAGCAGAGGACGGAAGATGAAGAACGTAATCTCGGTGAGTGGTCGGCTGCCTATTCTTTCTCTCAGGCCTGGACTAATGTGGCCTAATCTTCCAGTCATATCCGCTCGTATTTGGTTGTGCCTCTACTGGTTTGATCATCAGTATGTCTGTTATCTTCTCTCATGTACCGTAACTTGCTGACATTTATACATAGAATGAGTTTGGGTACTGGAAGGCCCGTCGTCCTCCGGGACGAATCCTCCATCAAGCACTGCAGAATTCTGCTCTCGCATCCCTTGGCTTCACCCACGGATGTTCGCCTTGTTTCCCAAGTAGAACTTATCGCTCAGAAGAGTAAGCATCAGTGCCTACTTCGGTGCGAATTTCATGCTGATTGTCGGATGCCTTGTAGCCCAAATTTACGAAACACTCTCACCACTCAACGGTCAAGTTAACCATAACACCCTCTCTTTATTCGCCGTGCCAATGTGGAGTTGGACAAGTGGTGGCAAGATTGCGATGCACTCCACCGTAAGTAACCGTATTCAGTTCACCGTCCCTATATTTCGAACATTATATTTATTTTATAGAACAATCTATGGATGAAGAAGCCCTTCCTCGGAAGATCCTCGCGGGAGAATTGTATTACGCCAAATTGTGGTTGGTTTGTGTAGCTCTTAGGGGTGTCTCGTGGGACAAGATGCCGTTCGAACAACGCGAGCTTGCATTCCAAGCTAAAGATGCCGCTTCGAATTGCATCTTGAACTTATTGAACTCAACGACCTATCGGTAAGACCTTCTCACTGTCAGTTTAAGTTTTCACCGCTAAATATAGATTATTCTAGTGCTGCCTTGCGTTATGCAGGTCCACGACAGCCTCGTCACCGCTGCCTTCTCCGGTCTCTTCCTCCTTAAAATGGCCAACCTATTCCCCGGCGAACTCGATTTGAACACCATCGCTGTCCAAGTTGAGCAACTAGCCAGCCTCCTTTCTGAGGTTGCTGCCGAACGCTATGCCCTCACTCTTCGTTTGATGCTAGCCAACCTCCGTCGCAAAGTAGGAATGTCATCCGGAGGTGTAACACCCATGTCTGGAGACATGATGTCTGCTGCGCCACCGTTTCTTGACCCCAGTCTGGTCACGGTTCCACCTGTACCCCCACCTTTCACTATGGAAGAATTAGGCGTTCCATGGCCGCACAGTCAAGCCATATTCAGCCCCAGTTCAATTCCTGTTTGGTTACAGGATCAGGTGAGTGATAAATTTCCAAAATATATCCGATAATACGCTATCACCACGTTGTCGCAACACCATCATGCCCATTGTTGGTATATCGTTGTTCATATGTGTTCATGTGTTATTTTGTTCCTCATGTGTTTCATTTTGTTTTGTGACTCGAACATTTTTCGCTGATTTCTCCGTTTTTAGAATTTGACTGATCTCGGTCTTCCCGTGAACGGCTCGGACGGAATCTTTCTTCAGATGTCCAATTCCAATGGCTGGTCCGGTGACTTTCCACCCATGCCAGAAGCTTGGTGACAATTGCAGTGCTCGGTCTCTGTTTGATGCTTCTTTTTCTTGCTGCACCTCTGCCCTTCCCGCTGCGCGTTCCTGATGATTTTGTCTTTTTGTTTTTTGTTTTTTCCTCCTTCCGTGGGTTTCTCTCTTCCCCCTCGATTTTCTCTCTCTCTCTCCTCTCTCCGATGGTGGTGACCCGTCTCGGTCCGTTCAGTCAGTTCAATCAGTTTTTTGGTCGGTGGACGATGATGATGATGATGGTACGACGATGGAAGAAGCAAGCAAACAAAAAAGAAACAAAAAAACAAAATGCACATAAACGAAGAAGAAAAGGAAAAAAAGATCTTACTCTGACCAAGCACGCGAAAGTACCTCTTGCGAGTAACAATTTTTTCATCTTTCTTATATGACCCTTTTTTGTTCCATACTCTTCTTACATATATGTGCCATGCAACTGTTCGCCCTTTTCTATTCCTTATGTATCGTCGTATATGTATATGACGACAACCAACAATGATTCTTCTGGCTGTAGTTTACCGTTGATCCGTATAGTTTCATATATTCTTTTCTTGGTCGTATGGTTTCTCTGTTACGCATCCTCTGTGTTTAGCGTCCTTTGTAGTTAAAGTTGATATCGTAGGCAGTTTCAATGTATGTATCTTTGCAGACCGTTTGTAAGAATGGGATAAAAACATCGATTCGTGTCGTACGAAGTACTATAGTCGTAACACGGGTCCTGGCAAGTCATAAAGCTGACGGCACATGCGTGTACTTCCCAAACCGAAGCAGCTAAGTCCAACGAGAAGATCTATAGAAAACACAATGGATCGAGCATTTGACGTGATGTTTACTCTTCTTCCTCTTCCTCATCGCTGTCTTGTTCTTGCAAGAACTAACAGGAAAAAATATCATCAATGTATCTTTGACGTCAGAGAGGGGTGAGACGTACTTTCACAAGGGGTTGACTGGCATTCAAGAAATGTTGTCTGCCCTGAGACTTGGAGCCCTTCTGATGCCAGTAGATGATAGCTTGGTCAGAGATACAATCCTTATTATACAGCACCTGGAGATAAGAAATAAAACAAAACAGGGTCACACGATCAGTCAACTGGCCATTTCGAAGGCACGATAATACACACACGTACTTTGAGAATCTGAGGGAATGCTTTGATGATGCGGGTATCTTCATAACAGTACACTTGAACAGCGTTAATGAGCGCAACTTCGGTCTTCGGTCCGTTGCAGAACGTTACTAAAATATCAGAGAAGGCCTGAAAACGGTAAATATAAATACACTGTTCCGAGTTTCAAGATGGAGAACGAAAGGACGTACGCCAATCTCACGAAGCGCAAGGGCCTCGTTCTGATCCTGACGAGCGCTCCACTCAATGGAGGAAACCAGTCCCTGCCAGATGCATGAGACCAATTCAGTCTCTGGAAGGGGGCTGTCTGTTTGCTTCGATTTGATAGCGGAGATGATCTACGGAAAGGGTTTCAGATATATCTGACACAGATACGGAGCGTTTAAGAACCCACATACCTCTGCATGACCTTCTTCATTGGAGAGCATTTCCTTCAAAGTGGAGATGATACCTTCCTTGACCGCGGCATACTGCCTCTTAGTCCACCACTCGGCGACCTGAGGTAATCCGGCACTTCGGAAGTGTTCATCCAAGGCTTTGTCCTGACGCTTGTTAGGAGGGAAGTAGGCTAGAAGGTCTTTGATACCTCCTTTGCGTAAGGTGGTAGCAAGGTGATCGATGGACTGGTCTGCCAGGTAAGCTCGGAAGATCATCGTGATCACGCCGATTGATACATCTGGGGACAGGTGCCGTGAGATGTCGGCAGAGGACAGGATATCAGATATGCCTACCGTTCTTGACAAGGTGATCCTTGGTCAGTGACTGGAGACAGCCAGCACCGATGAGACCTTGAGCGAGCATGAGTCCAACAGCGACAGAAAGCTTTTCGCGTTGAACATCAGGCCATCGGTTGGTGTATTGCATCAGACCAGGGAGAGATGTCTCTTCGAGGGGACGCTGGAGATACTTGTATCTGGAAACCAGATGAAGAGTGGGACGCATATACAGAGGTTCGGATTTAATGCATTACCTGCGACTCAAGTTGTTAAGCACTTCGACATATTTCTTTATCTCCACCACGTCCACGGGCTCCTTGGCGTTGAAGATTGAGAATGGTGAAGATGGGGCGCCATCATCGAGATAGCTGCCTCCGGGCTGGAGGAGACCTCCAACGAGGAGGATCTCGAAGAGTGCATCGGCATATTTCAAGTATTCGAGTGTGGATCCGGCTTGAACGAGTTTGTTGGTAAAACCTTCGAAATCACCAGCAGGTACGGTCTCGAGATGTTTGTAGAGTTGGTCTCTGAAGACTATGAAGACAAAAGCAAGTGTGTGTGAGCACTAGACAAGGGTTGGTATGTGAAAACACGGGAGACGAACCGGATGGTTCGCGTTTGGCGTGAGCTTTGACTGCTCCTTTCCTGGCTTTGATTCTGACCCCCTGCAGCGAAGGCTTAGCAGCGGTTGATTGCTGAGACATCCACAAGCTTCGAGACAGTCGAAAGGTGTGGATTTAACCTGGGATTAAAAAGGTAAAGCGGATGATGGAAGGAGAGGATGGCGCACAGGCTGCCTGCTTCACTCACACTCTCTCGCAGACGCAGGCTCTCATCTAGTCCATTTCCACCACCGATCGATTCCATCAATCTCTTCAATCTGTGCCCTACTCTCGCTTTCCATCACATGGGCACTTGGCGCAGTGGTAGCGCGTTCGCTTTGCATTCTCATCTGCGTGCGAAAGGACGGGAGTTCGATCCTCTCAGTGTCCAGTAAGCTTTGGTCATCATTCAGTCCTTTTTTGACTCGTCCTCGACATTTGTTACTGCTCGCAGTAAGCTCTAAATAGTACGTTTCCTTACTTGGTAGTATGTTCCCTAAAATTCAACAGGATAACCATATTTTGCATTGTAAACTTACTTTTTGGAGCCATATTCAGGTGGGAAATTAGCATTTCTTCCCCGTCAGGTCGTCCTTGCCATGATTTTACACGCAGGTTAGAGGTCACACCCTGGCCAAGAGGTACAGTATTTTACTAGGCATTAATGTCGCCATGTACAGAAGAAAGTCTCAAGTAACATCAAATCACAAGGTCAGTCGAGTCTACACCCTTTGAACTCCCTGAACCACTTGAGGGTATGTGGAGGCGATCAGCTGTATAACGTATCCGTTATTAAACAACCATATTGCAGTTTTGAACAATGATATGACTTACCCCAAAGAGCTCCGGTGCACGGATTGCAAGAACCTGAGGATCTTCACCGAGTCCGACGAAACTGTGACCGACCATGCATCAGTAGTGGATGCGGTAGAAAATAATAGTGATACTCACATAGTCGACACACCAGCTTCGATCGCCGATCCTAACGTCAATGCTATCGAAATCGTCAAGTCAAAATCAGCCTGAAATGAATTGGACAGGTAGGCGTACCACATTGCAAGCCGATCAAGAAGGAAAAGAGAATCACAGGAGCCGTATATTGTCCATCCACGTTATACGCAGGATGAGTTGCTACAATTTCTTATGTAAGATAAAATCCCATGGAGATGATGAATACCATACCTCGCAGATAAACGTACGCAAACAGAGAAGAAAGAAGACCAACAGAGTAGGCACCCCAAGTGAGTGCTTATTATGAGAAATAGTTAGTAAAGAACTTTCTGAGTTCATTCAGCCCTGTAAACTTACTCATGTTCACAAGAGAATCGTTGACGAGTGCATCAATACCCCTGTCCATGAAAAGACCCCAAGTATCCTTTGCCGCATTGAGATACGACTTTCCATATAACGCTAAAATAATTATCAATAAGTGCAACAACTTCCCCGAAAAAAAACATACCGATTTCGATATACGCATATCGGTTAAAGTATTGTACGAGTCCCTCGATGCATCCAATGAAACACTCGGCACAGAGGGCCAAACACGCCTCGACGGCTACACCAACTGAGATCAGAATAATTCCTAACTGCGCAGAATGTATATGCTACTTACGATGTCCTTCGGCGTTAGCGTTATTACGAGCGATACTAAGCAGCATCTTGATGAGTTCTAGGATGGTGACAATCAAAGATCCGAACGCGATTGAACCGAGTGAGAGTGTCGATGCGCGAACGAAAGCGGATAATGTAGGGTGTTTGGGCATGTTTCCTTGTTCCTTGGGACCGAAGTAGTACCAACCTTTACAAAAGAGCAGATAAATTCGAAATTCGAAGAATAAGAACAAAGTACGTGAGGATACTTACTGCCAAAAGGACCACCCGCCATTGTAGCAAGTGCAACATTAGCGACGACTTGAGAAGTCCAAAGGAAGGAGAAAGTCTCGTAGAATATGAGACCAGCCACTTTCCCGGATGAACATGAGGTTCCTGTGCTACAAGCTATGGACGAAGTATTAGTATACTGAAGACCAAATTCACAGGTAAATCATGGACTCACAAGGGTTCCCCGGCGTCCACTTTGTATACCTAATACAGCATGTCAAAAACCAAATATCACCGGTAGAAATTATAGGAAACTAACGTAGCGATTGTTGTGAATGTGAACCATCTGCATAAATATTGTCAGTCAACCCTTCCTTCGCATCGGAAGGAATTGGACGTACACGCTCAAAGCCGCTTGCAAGATCAATGCAAGGAACGCTACAACATACACACTCTTGTGATGTTTCGCCACGTCCATAACCACCTGCAACAACAGGGAGGCAAGCGGGATCCTTGACCTGTATCCCCAGTATGCAAGAACTGATAGGATGGCGATTATTGTGAATATGATAGCACCAGCTGAAAGAAGCAGTCATTAGCGCGATGCCAAGAACACATGCATTACTCGAGGACATACACCAATATTTAGTGATCCAGTAATAGATTGCAATACCACTACCGAGACGTTAGAATATATAATGTTGAGTCTATAAAAGAGGATGAACCTACATGTTAAGGGCAATCGTAAGGACGAGTGTTATGTGCATTACTATTTTCGTGAACGCCCTGATGAGAATAAGATAGAGTGTCGAGAAGAACAACGCGACGGCGGTCGTAAGTAGTAGGAGATAGACTGTATGGCTAACAGAAATTATTACATGGTCAATTGTAAACCTGGAACTCTTGCTGGAAAAGACATACTAATTCAATGTGATGCTGCTCCCCGTCTTACCGTTACCACCGCCGACACCGCCGCCAAGCCCGCCCAACTTGATCCATTCCGAGATGGAAATGGCGGACAGGACTACAAATCCAGCAAACTGGACTCCGAGTCGGACGTCACTCAGCCAAATGTCTCCCTCCACTAGTGTATAGTGGAGCACGCACCTGAAGGATGAAGAAGATCAAGAAGAAAATATCATTGACTTTCTTCTTCGGTTTAAACCGGTCTCCCTCGTAGGGTGACTTGTAGTCTCCACCGTACTCAGCAGGTGGTGGGCCAGAGGGCTCAGGATACGCAGGTTGGCCATACTGAGGTGTAGGTCCTGGTTGGTAAACTGATTGATAGTTAGCATCGTAGTTTGGTTGGGCTCCCCATTGGTTCTTGTTTCCGTCCCAAGAAGCCATTTCTCGACGACGTTTTGGACTAGTATACTAGCTCAAAAGGTAAAAGTGGAGAGGGTCGTGGCGGTCGTGAATAAAGAGAGATACTACAGAGGCCGAGAGCCTATGCTGTTGTAAGGAGGTGTTGAAAGCGGTGATAGCTGATTCAAATCAAGGAACCCTACCACCTATAGGGGGAACGGATCCGAGACACTGGCTGTGGCACGCCGGAAGGCATGTTGAATTCACGCTTTAGGGTGTTTGACGGTGCATTGGAAGGCCAAATGACGTATTGACCGCGGCTGATCTTTGATTTTTGCCTTTCCTGAACCCGCCAAGCGTAAACAAACACCTGCCGTTCCTCTTGGCAGACGCTCAAATGTATTCCAGAGGGTTTGCCATTTGAATAATACTTGCCGGCATATTCTGAAAATCAGGTCACAGCAATCGGGCGATGTGAAAGCCCGAATCTCGTTATACATTATTTCAGCGAATCCTCTACGAAACCGTGGTATTGGATACAGGCTGTGATGCTGATCTGAAAAGAAAAGGAAAATTCTGAAACCACCCCGTTGAACGTTGAACAAGAGACTACAAGAGAAAGGATAAAGGATTACATGGGTTTGTAGGTAACTGAAAGTTGTTTGGAGATGAAAGAAAAAAGAAGTCAGAGACATTGTTCCAAATTGTAGCTTGAAAGTGAAAGAAGCCGTCCGGTTGGGATCACCTAAGATGGTGGGTTGCGGAATCGAATGACGAGGACAGTAACATTGTCGGTAGAGTATTTGGCGTATGCCTGGTCCATGAGACTTTTCGCTGCCTCGGCGGGGTCAGCTATATGCCGCACCTGCGCTACAGCTTCTTGATCTTGAAGAACGTCCCAGAGCTACAACTGCAAGTTAGACGTTATTCTTCGGAGAACAAGAGAACAGACATACCCCATCGCACGCCAGAATAAGGAACTCATCTTCCTCACTCAACTCAGTTTCAGTTGTGTAAGGTGCCCCGACCACGAACTCCTTCATAGAAGAATCACCCAAACTCCGAGTGACAGCCAAGACACCATTCACACGACCACTCATCACAAATCCACCCGCATCGACAATACGTTTCGCCTCCTGCTTGTCTGTACCCTTATGGTCATAGGTCAACCTGACTGCCTTTCCTGACCGACACAGCACACCTCGTGCATCTCCAGCATTGGCGCAATACAATACTCTCCGAATATTAGATGCCGTAACAGGCGTATAAATCTGATCGTCTTTGTCTTGAGTAGGGGAAGGTGTCGAAGTTTGATTGGAGTGACTACTCGACGCGTCTGAAGAATTGTTCTGGCTTGAACGAGAGCTTCCGCCGATATGTCTAAAAGCGTTCTTGATCTTACTTTTGCTACTCTTCTTCTTGTGTTCGTCGGTGTGACCACCGGTATGACTATTGCTATCCGACTCGTCGCTTCCAGCCTCGATCATGTCTAGCGAAGACTGGAATGGGTCAAAACTCGGGGGAAGGAATGATTGTTTCCCGTCTGCGTCTTCAAGACGCAAGAATGCGGTTACAGCCGTGCATCCAGAGTGCATCTTGCCATCGGATTCTTCGGTCATTTTCGACAGCTTGGTATCTACATCGTGGAATGTATAGTTGAGCACGTCCGGGATGGGGGAATTGGGTTTAGTGCGCAAGGTTTCGAGGAGTCGCTAAACCAGAACATCTTCCAGTCACATACATGAGATACTAGGATGCTGTGGAGCTCACCAATGAGAAGTTCTGTCCACACCACTCCGCAGCCTGTTTACCAGCATGTCCGTCAAAGATAGCAAAGAACCCTTGGCCGCGTACACCAGCAAATGGGACGACGATGGAGTGGGCATCTTCCATAAACCGTCTCGGTCCTTTCTCGTCCGTTACGGCACATTTGAAAGACAACTGCGAGGGTAAGGAGGCGTCATTACTAGGAGCGGTTACATGTCTATGTCAAGTTCAACGTTCCGTAGGTGTTAGTTATGATCCTAGCCTCGCAGCTCAGACATCATTGGCGAGAATATACGTACTGGGATATGGGTGCCACATCTGGTATTCCATCAGAAGGTTAGTTAACGATCGACAATAAAACCGAGAGGCGCGTACTGGGTGAGGAATCTGTAGGAACAGGAGACATTGTAATGTTTGGTTGTTATAAAGTGGAAGGTAAGAGGAGGGGAAAAGTTGAGAGGTTTGTCTGGTGGGGCTATATATACGTAGTATGAGGAT